CTTTAGCCTCCTCCTCCTCTAAGCTTGCTCTCCAAGAGAATAATCCCTAGAATTGTCTATCTCTCAAAAAATGCATCATATTTCTTTTATATGTAGGTCAAGTGACACACAAAATGAGCTGGGTCATGCAAAAAATATTCTCTAATGATTGGATAGATGACGGATTGAACAAGCTGGCTTTTTAAGTTTTTCGCACTGGAGGAAGTTCGATCGATCGAACCTTGGACTTGGATTGATTGAACTTGGCTGAGATCCATCGAACTTAGGTTAGATCGATCCAAGGTTGAGCTTTTTGGGAAAAGACAAATCCGAGATAGTTTGGGAGATTTTTTTGGGAAAAGGACAAAAGTGGTTAGTGGGTGGTATAGCTGTGGATAAGATCAATCATTTGAATAAGGACAAAAGTGTTCGATCGATTGAAGGGTGGTGTTGGATCGATCGAAATTTGGACTTTTTTTGCTTTGGGTCAAGGTTTGGATCTATCTTGAAGTATTGAGATCGATCATTGTTTGATCGATCGAACCTTGAAGTTGGATCGATCGAACTTTGCTACTTCCCACCTTTGACTTCATTTGCTTCTTTCTTTCTCCACTTTGCTCATTTCTTTGTTTAATCCCAGAATTGCTTCAATTAAGCTCTTATTTGGCTGAGTTAGCTTATTTTCGGGATAAGTGCCTGAAAATGGAAATAATTCGAAATCAATCTAAAACGGTAAAGTAAGATAGATAAAGGTACTAGAATGCCTAAGCTTAAGGAGTTTAAATACGCACTTTTCAGCGCTCATCAAGTAAGAAGATAGGGATAGAGAGAAATAGCAAGGATGCTATTTTGGGAAAGAGCTTGAGAAAGCAAACAAAATAATAAATTGATTTTGAGGGTGCTGGACCTCTTTCACAACATGTCTCTTTCTTTATTTATAAATAGCATACAAAACAAATTCCCATGTTCAAGCATTCTACTTGTAATAAAAATCTAATCATAACTACAATTCAAATTAAAAAACTACAGATAACCTAACTGAAAAATGAAACAAACTCTATCTATCTTTTACTTCAAAATAAATCTTTGCATACAATTTAGATCCCACATGGAATTATCAACGCTTCCTCCAGTCTAAAGCCCAACCATGTAATCAGCCCAATACTCCATGTACCCAGCCTAATCTTTGTGCAACCTAAGCTTTCATCATTCATCAAGCTCAAATATTCTTGGTCCATACCATCATGTCACTGTTTATCACACCCAATTGGAGCCCAGACCCAATTACAAAAATGGGTGTCAACAAGGCCCCCTAATTTTGGTAACCGTTTAACTCTTTGGCTTCCAAAATTCAAATACACCCGTTGCATCGTAACTTTGTATACCTCTTAAAATCCTATCAGCTTTATCTTGACACACTTCCCAAACATATCGATTATGATAACCCATCTTATCACTCATTAATTCTCGCAGTAATCCCTTTAAACTTTTCAACCATACATGGCTTTTCCATAAACCAACTCCATCTTGCAAACTCTCCTTTCCCAACACACTTCCTTCTTCTCCAAATTTCTCTCTGTCTAACCCTTTCTGTAATTATGACTTCAAAACATACAAAACAAAGTGATCTGAATTTGGAAAACCTTTTTCCAGAGGCGACATCGCATACACAACTAACAAAATCAACAATCAAAATCCTAGATTAAAGCGAACTGGATTCCAACACGTTGATCGACGTTACTGAAAATGCTAAGGGACTTGGCCCAACTTTTCTTAACCGATTCCCTCTTTCCTTATCTCCAATTTATCCACAAGCCGAACCGCACCTTCCTTTCTCCAAAACTCTCTATCTAATAGCAGAAGGGGACAGACCAACTCTCTTTGTCAGAAATTGGCACCCAATAGTGCTCCAATGGAATGACTGGGTAGATCGTGTGTCAGCAGCAAAAGGAGAGTAGTGGAAAATGATGGGTATCTTTGACCTCATTCAGCTTAGTAAGATTCCCTTTTCCTTTAACCGAGTATTATTTTTTTTGCCTCTTTGCACTTTTGGTCCCCCACAACCAATTCACTATACTTGCACTGTGGCATGAATGGCCCCTACATTGAGGGATGTTTGTTTTCTAACGGGTTTAAAGCCTGGAGGAGATGAAATCAATTATCTCCTCCAGGATGAAGAAACCTCCTTTTACTTTCTATAACAAAAAGGGGCTAAACCCTATGTGCAATCACATGGGCCATTCTTAAAAGAAATGTTAGGAGAAGAAAGAACTGATGTAGATGAACAAGAACATATAGGGTTTTTACTAATGTGGTTGTGTAGGTATTTGTTGTGTGCCCCTGCTATCCAGATTACCAAAGACCTTACCTAATTGGCCATCGCATTATCCAAAGGGAAACCATGGCCTTAGCTCCATTCGTGTTAGAATCCTTGTATAGAGGCTTATCTGATCTCATTACCTCCAACTTTGCAAGATTTGGAGGCCCGTTTTGGCTATACCAATTCTGGCTGCATACATACTTCCCTGAATTAACTCCCCCCATTCGGCCTACTCTAAACGATCCTTTGTTGTCATTTGGGTATGCTAGAGTAAAACCCAAAGACCATTCTTTTAATGACTGCTTTCAGTTTTCTACTATCAGTGCAAAATCAGGACTCAATCCTAATTCCTTCCTTTTTCCAAATGTCAACTAGCTTCATCTTGGTTGTTTTCTCCTACTGCCGAGTCTTCAGCCGAACAGATTGAACTCTACAGTAATTTATGGGGCCATTTCTTGATTGCAAGAGATATCCCTTGTAACACCGTTGCTCCCTATCTTCCCAAGAGTCAGATTGGAGTTGAATTTTACAACCCAGCCCAATTAGCCCGGCAATTTGGATTGACTCAAATGATCCCAATACCTCCCCATTTTTCCTATAACAAGATCTATCATTGACGAGTGAAGCTTTCAAATAGTGAACAAATTCAGGATGTGTCTAATCGATTTACCCAACTCCTTTAAGGGTTTCAGTATAAATCTTTCCTTGAAGAGCCACGTACTGATCCAAACTTCGAGAATTGGTGGGCATCTTATATCACTTTTACCAGGACTGTAGATTCCAGTCAACTTGTGTGTAATCTTCTTGGCTCCTACAAGTTCATTTCCCTTAATTTTTAAGGTATGGATTCCATTAAACCCATTGTCCTTTCTACTGCTCCTAAACTAGAGAATACAACCAATGTGGCACCAACTCACCCTCCTCCCATAGCTCCTGCAGGTAGGACCAGATCTCGCTCTCGGCAGAGTAAGTTTTATATTTTCGTCTTTTCCATATAAACTTCTATTTTGTTTATATGCTTGCTAATCATAAATTCAGGCACACATTCCAATGCACCAAATAAATCTATACCCACCAATTCTGAGGAAACCCTTGTTCATTTTTAAGTCCCTCTCCAAAGTATACCTCCATCTTCGGCTACTCGGGTAATACCTGTAATCGAACCATATATTTACTCTTTTGATGCATACCACTCTTCTTGTTAATACTTCATATTCAGAAAACAATAAGAAGGAAAACTGTAGGAAAGAAACCTACTAAAAAGGCAAGAGCCAAGAGATACTTTAAATTGATCGATGATAATGAAATTGATAAGGATGAAGTCATATCTAAGAAAAAAGAAACCTACTGCTAAATATCCCAATGTACCTTCCTTTTTGCCTGATTTCATATATTACCTCTTTATTCCTATAATATAACTAAATTGGCATTATTTTCAGAAAGCTCCACTCTCTTCAGATTAACAAACAATTCAAGAAATTTCTACAGACCATGTTGATGAGGACGAAAACAAAGGTCTCCCGTGTCCTCTCCATACCTGGCTGCAACTTCAATTAATAAACAGATTGGAGATTCTGATGAAGTAAGTTATGATTTCTTTTTATAACTTGTTCTTGTAGACTGGAGAATGCCTGTGATTAACCCAAAATATTTCAGGTACAAAAAGACTTGGCTACTCTATCCATTCCTGCCAGTATCAACCCAAGTTCTCCATTTACAGCCCTTGATTCTTTATTTGACCCGGTGTTTGACTCTCTTGATCCCGAACCTCTTGTAATTCTGACCAAGAATACCACTGACACTCCATTGGAAGTGGTTAAAGCTGTTGATATATGTTTCAACAAAACTTGTCTTTAATCCCTTTCTTCAAGGAAGAAATCACTGAAACCCTTTCCTTTCTAAGCAGCTATCCAGGATTTCCTTTGAAGGATCAATCCTTTTTCAAGAATGTTCAACTCCAAGTTCCATCCATGATTGTTGCCTATGTTGAATCAACTCAAACCATTAACCACTACACTGTTCAAATCTAAGAAAAAGAATTGCTTTCCCAAACTTTGAAAGATGAAAGAGAATTGCATTTGTCTTTAAAGAAAGAAGTTGCCGAACTAGATGCTAGAGAGAAAAAGCTTCAAGCACAACTTACTCAGCTTCAACAAGACAAATCCCAACTCGGCAATAAGGTGGCAGAACTGAAGAAACAAGCAGAAGTTACTGCCCCCAAGTTCAAAGTACTACAAGCCCAGATGCCAAAGTTGGAGCAGTCCAAACAACAAGCAGAAACCAAGCTTACCAATACCAAGGCCTCATGGGCAGATATGAAGGCCAAGTTTGAAGATTTTCATATGAACTTTACTCTCCTTTAAACAATTATTTCTATCTTTTTCTAATGGTTTGTAATATGGCTCTGAACAATTTGCCCTTTTCTTTTGGATGCGATGTTATGTTTTGAACAGTGTTCCTATAATAGCCTTTGGAACTTTATTTTGATGTATCTTCAAAACAACTTACATAAAAAAAAATTGAAACAACACAATCCAAAGTATTTTTACTTAGTGGAGGTTTTCTTTTCCTCTATAAGTTTAAAAATAGTTGGTTTATATTTCTTTAGGTACCTTCCGTTTGTCAGTCTCTCGTGGATTTTACCATCTACATCTTTTTACTTGTAAGCCCCTCCATGTAAAACTTGGTGAACCAAAAACGGTCATTTCCATGTAGGTGACCACTTGCCATAAACTCTATCCACCTTCCAAGGTGGAAGAATTGTTTGCCACACCATATCACCCTCTACAAATGACTTGAACTTTACCTTTTTGTTGTAAGCCTTCATTACTTTTGTTTTATGGACCATAAGGAAGTCTAAAGCAAATTTCTGAACTTCATCTAAATCTTCTAACTCAGAAAGCATAGCTTCATTATAATCGGCAGGTCTAAGATTATGTTGTAAAGCTACTCTTGCCAATTTCACATTTAACTCCATCGGCAACACAGCATCGTGGCCAAATGTTAGCCGATAAGGAGTTGTTCTTATACTTGTTCGTTTTGAATTTCTATAAGCCCACAAAGCTTTTGAAAGGGTTTCATGCCAACGCCTTGGCTTATCTTTTATCATCTTTTCAATTATTTCAATAACAACTTTATTTGAAGCCTCGGCCTGACCATTCCCTTGAGTATAATAGGGTGTTGAAGTTACCATTTTCACTTGCATATCATGGCCAAGTTGTAATACTTCATTTGCTCAAAAAATAGATCCATTATCAGCAACAATTGTTTCTGGTAAGCCAAATTGGTGAAAGATATGTCACTCCAAAAACTGTATAACGGTATTATGAGTTACCGATACGTATTCCTCGGCTTCTACCCATTTGGTAAAGTAATCGGTAGCTAAAATAATCCAATGATGACCCTTTGATGAAGGAAGATTAATCTTGCCGATTAAATCCATGGCCTAACCTCTGAAAGGCCATTGTTTAACAAGTAATTGCATCCCTATTGCTGGAACCCACTGCATTGGACCATGTTTTTGACAGTCTATATAACCTTTTGCATAAGTCATACAATCTTTTCTTATTCTAGGCCAATAATATGCATATCGGCGTATCAACCACCTCATTTTTATGCCGGCTGGATAAGCTCCACATATCCCTTCATGTACCTCGGCCATAATCTTCAAACCCTCAAACTTACTAATGCACTAAAATAATAATCCATCATCAGTTGATCTTCTATAAAGATCTCCATCCATAAGCATATAATCGATTGCACTTCTTTTTATTCTTCGATCGGCTTCTAGAGTTGGATGTTGCAAGAACAAGATGTAAGAGATTTGCCAATCATCATCATCCAACTCAGCAACATCAGTGGCAAAGACTTCTTCCATAACTTGATTTATTGTTTCAGCCGATGGAAGAGATCGACGTGTAATTTTCATTATCCTTTCCTTTATACCACTCTGTAACCTGACTCCTGAAGCAGTCTGCACTAAATCATTAGCTATTTTATTCATGGCCCTTGGTCTATATTCTAAAGTTACATTATGAAATTGGTTGACCAATTGGGTTGCTAATGAATGGAATGGCCTTAATTGCCAATTCAAGCATCTAAAGTCTTCTGAGATTTGATTAATCACTAAACTCGAATCTCCCACAATGTGGATGTCTTTGACTGCCATTTCTAGCAGAATTTCCAAATCGATAATCAATGGTTCATACTCGGCTTGATTATTTGAGCACCTGAAATCCAAAAAGAAAGAAAACGAAATTTGGTTCCCTGTTGGGGATATTAGCATGATGCCAGCTCCTGAGCTTTCACTGGTACTCGACCCATCAAACATTATAGTCCAAGGGGTTATGAATATGGCTACCGAGTCAAGCTCATCAAACACTTGTGATTCAATTTCAGGTGATGGATGATCGGCAAGAAAGTCTGCCAATGCTCTTCCCTTAATTGCCTTTCGTGGAGCATATGCAAAATTGAACTCCATTAATGCTAGAGCCCACTTGTCGATTCGGCCTGTGATTAATGACCTTGATATCATATACTTTATAAGATCTGTTTGACAAATAATATAAATCAAAACAGGCAACATATAGACTCTTAACTTAATTGCTGCAAAATACAAAGCCAAACATAATTTCTCAATTGGTGTATATCTACACTCGACTGGAGTTAAAACTTGGCTGAGATAATATATTACTTGTTCACTTCCTGCTTCATTCTCTTGTGCTAACATAGCTCCAATGGATTCTTCAGCAGCCGATAAATATAACTTCATCGGCCATTTCTTCCTTGATGGCATCATGACAGGAGGACTCGACAAGTATTTCTTAATCTAGTCAAATGCCCTTTGATGTATAACATCCCATTTGAATTCTTCCATCGGCTTCAACTTTAGTATTGGGGAAAACACATGTAACTTCCCAGCTGTATTAACAATAAATCTCCTAAGATAGTTCACTTGCCCTTTTGACTCTTTACAAGTCCTTTTTTATACAAGTGCATCAAAATGCATCAAAATGCAAGTATGTACCCGATTGTTGATATCACAAGTTCTTTGGTAATGGAAATTTAGGCTCTATTTAAATCATGAGCCTAAGGTTGCTTTACAGTTTTTTCATGTTTTGGACACAAACCACGAGTGTGTGCAGTTCAGAATACTTATCTACCATGGTCCCACATCAGAAAAACACTGTTTATATGCTACCTTTACATAAGGAAATTTTAAAATATTTGGATGCATTGCAAAGAGGGCCCGTTGGTAATAGTACCGGCCCAGCCCAAGTTGAATTCATATCCCTAGTACCAACGGGCATTCTTTGCAATAACTTTTGCTCTTTCCAAATAAATCAGTCTTAGTGGCTTATATATCCTTTGTCCCACATCGAAAAGGAATACTAAAAGTATATAGTCAATATAGAATTGACAAACAGCATTTGATTGCCACGAAAAGAGTCCCTGTGAAGCAAAGCCTTCCAAAACAAATATATATAGGATTTCCCAGTCACAGTTACTCTCTTTCTTGGCCTCATGACATTTTTGAATCTTCGGCTAACCTGGCGAATTGAATGATTTTTCTAGATCCGGCTCATAACCGAGTACACTTCACTTCGGACCCCAAGAGTCCAGCTCAGAGAAGTTCCTCTCCGGCTCATAGTCTAGGACACTTTGCTTCGGACCCCAAGAGTCCAGCTCAGAGAAGTTCTTCTCTGGCTCATAGCCGATGACACTTCGCTTCGGACCCCAAGGGTCCAGCTCATGAAAGTTCCTTTCCGGCTCATAGCAGAGGACACTTCGTTTCGGACCTTAAGAGTCCAGTTCAGAGAAGTTCCTCTCCGGCTCATAGCCGAGGACACTTCGCTTCGGACCCCAAGAGTCCAGTTCAGAGAAGTTCCTCTCCGGCTCATAGCCAAGGACACTTCACTTCGAACCCCAAGAGTCCAGCTCAGAGAAGTTCCTCTCCGGCTCATAGCCGAGGACACTTCGCTTCGGACCTCAAGAGTCCAGCTCAGAAAAGTTCCTTTTAGGCTCACAGTCGAGGACACTTCACTTCGAACCCTAAAAGGTCAGCTCAGCACCATTATTTTCTGGCTCATAGCCGAGGAACGTAACTCCTCGGACCCCAAGTGTCCAACACTCAAACCTCGGAACTCAGGAGCAGTACAACTCCTCTCGGGCTCATGACTGAGCAGTTTATTGCATCAGGCATTAGGAGTCCAGCACAATACGACTCTTTTCAAGCTCCTTGCTAGCTAATACATCACCTCAGACGATTCAAGTTCAATACTCAGGCAAAGGGTGCTACTTCAAACAATTAAAGTCCGAAGCTGTGCTAGCAAAGTGTGAGTCTAAGCAGGGGCAAAAGTTCTCTATGGCGATGCACCCGCAGATTCTTACTTGAAATTTCATCCCACACCAAAATGATATAGGGAAAAACAAGCATTGATATGTGCATTTCTTGTAAGTCAGCTGCAAGACGGGTTCCCTTGACAGTTGGAATTATAGATGAAAAAGCCTTCTTCAGGTAATAATTAAACGGTCAAATGGATTCCCTTCTTATTATCTGTACTATTTTTACTTCGGATCACAAGAGATCCAAAGCTCCCAGGCAATAAGCCTTCCTCCTGGCGAGGAGCATGTCTTTGTAATATAATTGTACGGAAGCCAAAGGTATTCATAAACATGAAGAGGACTTCAGAATAAATATGATCATTACATTGTAAAAGTTATAGTTTATACAACTGTTCTTTCAAAACAAGGAAAGAAACATAAAAAGAAGGCAATTACACAGCTCTACTTCCTTTTTGGATCAAAGGGAGTAGAGTCAAAGGCGTCTACCATATTTGGATTGGTGGGAAAAGGGGTTAGCAGGTCAAAGGATGGAGGAGCTGGCAAGCTTGAGGCTGGAAGAACTTCCGGATGAGCTTTCACCATCTCGGCAAAAAGCACCTCAGCTTCCGGAGCCTTGGGTTCCTCAGCATAAGGAAGTGACACCCCCATGGTAGCATCAAAAGCTTCTGGGTCCTTCGACTTGTCACTAGAGCCTTGGTTGAAGCCGAACCTAAAAGCTTTTGCACTTGATAAACCCACGATGGTGGAATAGCATCCTTGCATTTGCCTCCAAGCAGTAATGCAGGTACCAATGGTATCATTTAAGCACTGGACTTCAGACTCCAGAACCTGCACCTTTGCCTCAGAAGCTGTCAAGCGATTCTTGTAGACATCCCTCACATCAGAAGCAATCTTCACATTCATAGCCCAGTGCGAAGACTTCTTCTCAGCATTGCCTAAATCCCTTTCCAATTTCTTAATGGAAAGGGACTGAGTTTCAGCAGTGGCACATAGTACCATAGTCTGGTACAGACTCTGCATGATTAATAATAACAATGTTAATAGATTTGTGGTGAAGATAAATTTAAGGAATTAAACAAATAGATGAAAAAGAATAAACCTTCACAGCATCCACAGGGGCAGATAGCAGTAGCTGGTCCAGCCCCAGATTCCCAATAATCTCCTCATCCTTGGGAAGCAACATACCTCGAGCAACAGCCAAGGCAGCAAAAGGGTCAGAGACTATGGAATCCCCGGAGTGAAGAACTGACTTGTCAGCCTTTGAAAAGACAGACCTCCAGGGTTCTCCAGATTCAGCCTGAACTGTAATACCCCTAGTTTTAAAAGGGTTATAATTGGAATTTTAATATTTATTTTATTGTTTTCATTTTTTATTTTATTTATTTTTGGTATTTACGTGGCTAGGTGTTTTTGTGCATTAAATTAAATGTTGGGTGAATTTATTTTTCTGTAATTGAATTAAATACATTTGTAATTGTTTAAATGTTTTGTGAGTTTAGTTAAATAAGTTAGTTAGGTTTAAATTATTAGTGCATTTAAATTGTAATGTTATTTAGGGTTTAGTTTTTTACTACCTCACGCCGACTAAACTGGGCCTCAATTAGGTTTTCCATGGTGGATTAGGGTTTTGATTAAAGCCTATATATATATTGTAGTATGTCTTCAAAAAAGGGTTGAGAACCTATACACGTACAGAGAGAATAACAGAGAGTTATCGGGAGAATAACAGAGATAGATAAAGGGAGGAAGTCTAGGGTTTTGCTTAGGCTAGGGTTGAACCAAGAAGGAGGAGGAGCAGTGGTTGGCTCATGGATAAAACCAAGAGCAACAGAGGTGGAACAGTCGTCGAAGAGTTCATCGGAAAATTCAGAGACGGTTAAGGCAAGTTCTTTCCTTTCTCTCTCCTGTTGCATGTGTTCTGTGCATCCTTAGACTGTCTCTAGGGTTTTAATGGATCACTAATTAAAGTTTACATGCTTGTTATATGCTAATTCAGATATCTGTATGCGTGGAATTGTTCTGTTATAGTTCTTGTATCTCTGTGTCTTATTCTGCGTTAAAAGCATGTTAAATCGGTAATGACTTTAATCACTGTAATTGAATTGAACTATTGTGAACAAGTCATAGAGATGTTATTGGATGTATCTAGGACTCTTAAGACCAGGTTTAAGAAGCAACAGAGGGGTAGGAAAGGGTTGGAGATGGAGCAGATCATCGGAAACGGCGAAGAAACAAATCAAGGCTCTCAAATGAGATAGAGCCGGCTCTCCCACGGAGAGAGCCGGCTCCCCTTGTGGGAGAGCTGGATCTAGGCTGATTTGAGCCTGCTCTAGGATTTTAGAGCAGGCTCTGTGGTTTTGGGTGTTACAACGTGTGTTACAGAAGCTTTAAAAAAACTTAGAGAAGGCTCTTGAAAACTTAGAGAAGGCTCAATCCACTTAGAGAAGGCTCTTGAAAACTTAGAGAAAGCTCTCCCTTAGTTGGAGACGTCTCTAGGTAGCTTAGAGCCTTCTCTAGTTTTTTTTAGAGAAGGCTTTGTGGTTTTGTGCATTACAGAAGTTTAATTACGCACTGTTGGTACAAACTGGGTTGTTTTCAGCTGTGTTTGGGTTACTGTGATGGTTTTAAACCTTAAGTCATGGAGTATTAAGGGCCTAGGATGCATTAATCTATCTATATGCTAATGTTGTAAACCATAGGAAAATCTAAAGCAAGCCGGAGGCAGGTTACAGACTTAACGGGTCGGAAGGATGTAATTGTGCAAACTGTGTCTAGCAACCAAGAAGGGTTGGAACATGGATTCCAAACATTATATCATGATATATTAGAGCCACTTTTAATAAAATAAGGTCTGAGTACTCATGGATTTAACCGTAGGAAAGTGCACCACGGTACAGGTGGTTAACAGATGGAAGGAGTTCAATTGCCTAATTTAATTTTAGCAATTTAACGGAATATGTTTATATTTTTAAATCTTGCTTTGGTTGTACACTAGGATTATTTAATGCATAATTGGATATTAATGGTTGAAATGCTAAATTCCTTTCTGCAATGCATGGATTTAAGCTTGGAATTTTAATTGTTGTAATATTAAGCATTACACTGTAATTACTTGGATTAGGGTTTGGCATTAGATTGACAGAACCTAGTTATCAATCTAATTGGATGTTGGCTTGGAATTAATTGAAGAATTAAATATATATTTTCTGTCAATTACCTGGATGGATGCTGGAATTTAACTTGACGAATTAGTAAACTTTGTCTCGTTTAATTACATGGATGGATTCTGGATTTTTTTTTAGTTGATGACTTGTTTCAAATGCTATGTTTATCAACTATATGGATAATGTGGACTTTATTTGGTGTACAGTATAAAATGTTGCATCATTTACGGATCATTTGCATGTATGCACCGGTATGGGATGGTGTCATACAGAGGGACGGATTAGG